TCACATGCATTCAATATCACTTCGCCATCTAGTGCCGAGGCATGAACACAACAACCGGGCATGAAATTCGTGTATCTACGATACCATGTGCAGGCGCTGGTTTTTAAGAAACCGCCACAAACTAGATATCAAAAAGAAGTTATTAAATGCAGATTTTGATACGATTAAAGGTATTTTGATCTTTCTTCTTTCAAGGCGAAGGAAGTCGGTAAACAGAAAATGACCAGACGCCACTCCGTCGAGTTAATCGGGTATCAAAGATGATCTATGATTAAACGTAACTGCACTGTGTTAATAACAAACGATCAGTTACTATTAGCTTTCTTTAACAATTCTGTAAGGTGTAATATTGAAAAACTTGAAAAACATTTGTTAAAGGAGAAAAAAAACAAAAAAGAAAAGAAAAGAAAGAAACGGCGATCCAGTATCTTCCTCATTTTCCTGTAAATGTACGGGCCAAATTTCCTCGCATATCCTATTTTAAAATTCTTTCGAGGAGCTAGGGGCATTTTGCAAAAATTATATTATTAGTTTTCATCTCTTAAACGTCTTACACCCGCCCAGAGACATGTGTCAGCATCAGGCTCTGTGAGCCGCGAGCCAAAAATATATTAATACCCCTAACACAAAGAAAGGCCCCTATAGATTGTGCTAGCGTAATTTTTGGCATAATTTGGAAAGAATAACATAATTTTTGAACTTCTCATAAAAGCAGCACTACTAGCTTGCATGATCAGCAAAATTTAAGTTTACTTGACGGGAACATCACCAGAGAGATAGAGTCATGAGTCAACGATCATTTTTTCATGCATGTCAGCATATGATGTAAATCTATTAAATTAAGATACTTGCGATTGTTAGGAATTTCCAATTGAACAGGAAACGGCGAATTAAGGGAAAATTAAGATAATTTCGCAAAACTTGATTACTGAACGATAGCTCAAACGACTTCACGTGCACGTTCTCACTAAGTCCACACAAGACTGACCATGGGCGAGCCAAAAACGAGGAGGGTCTTTACGACCCCATGTCGAACATTCTTGATAGAATTAGAACTATTTTTAATAATAGTTATAATGTCTTTAATCGTTTATAGGATAAAAATATATTTCCTATGTTACAAGTTAAAATCTAAAGGGTATCGTACAAGGTATAAGAGGAAGAAAGGTTAAATTTTAAGCCACGTCACGCGGCATCATCTCAGAAGTTCTCTTTCCGAGAATATTAGCAACCGTATAATCGGTAACAAATGAGTTTTATTGGTTGATTGAACTTTCGCATCAGACTAAACTTCCCTTAGTTCCAGTAAATACTCGAGTGGAGATCTAGGAAGTTGCTGTGTTTTTATTTTGTTATTATTAATACTATTTTTATTATGAATATAATCATCATTATAAAATAGTTTTTATTTCTCTTGTAGTTTTTGTTTCTGTTTTTTGTTTGTTTGTTTGTTTGTTTGTTTTCATTTTGCAGCCTATTAATTGTTTCATTACTTAACTTGGCGTCGTGACATAGTATAGCTGGAATGACTTCCTACCGCATAATGACCTCTTCATAAGTTCTGCTCTGCTTAGAACTATTTTTAATCGTTTATAGGATAAAAATGCATTTTCTATGTTATGTTTATAGGATAAAAATAACATAGAATAGCTGGAATGACTTCATACCGCATAATGACCTCTTTACTTAAGTTCTGCTCTGCTGTTTCTGGCACTTTCTGCGATTTTTCAAATCACACCATCAACACGTGTAGCCCCAAGAGATTGCCAAAAAAAACACTTCAGTCTGGTTGAAAGAAGTAATGAAGGAACTGACGCAAGTTCGATTTAAAGCTAATATTCTCACAGGGAAAGGGACAGTATGAGACTCTCTTTGCTCAGTTGTCTTCATCATTCCATCTTCTCGTTATCATTAAATTTCGTCGCACGAAAAACCTATATTACAGGAGTGTTATTTTTCAGAATGGCGATGTCAATTTATATTCTAAGTGATCAATTTTGCGATTCAAGATGACAAAATTTTCTCTTCTGAGCTTTTATCTGTGCAATTCTTTTTTAAAGCAGCAGCGTGACATAAATATAAACGACTGTCAAATACGGTAAAGAAAAACTGTTTCAATGTTGTTGTCAAAAGCGAAACACTCACGACAGCGATGCCATGACCGTGGGAATCCGGACAGCAATTATGACAATTTGGTTAAAAGTAACCTATTTATTTAAATTGACTTCGAAGATATTAAATCCATGACGAATGCGTCTTTATTTTATAGATACTGATGAAATATCGGGATTTTTTCTTTTACTAAAAACTCATATCTTCATCGCACACAGTGAAGATACTATTTTTATCTTTCACGTGTGAGGATATTGGTGTCGCCATAGTTACTAACACGATGAGCCAATCACAAGAGAGCTTCCCGCGGCCGGTTCTTTTGAAATTTCATTCACAAAATGGCTTCGAGGTGCGAAGACGGTACATTTACCGGTGACTTTCTCGATGAGCTGCCAAATTTTCACATCGATACTTTTTGCGAGCTTAAAGAACATTCAGGAAGATTAGCTGAAGTCTCGGAAAGTGATGTTGAAAAAATTCATTGAAAATTAATTTTAAAAATTTGTCTTTTATGCAGGAATTTCATAAGTATCTATAAAATAAACAGATAATTACATGGCCAATGTTGGAATTTTTACTACAAAGAAACCAAAAAAATAGTTTCTTTCTGACAATATACTAATTCATAACCTAAATTAAACTTTGACGCACGATTTCGTCGCCTTAGCTGTTCAGAGGTGGATATTATCAGAGCACGCTAAAAAAATCACTATCTACTGATGTGCTGTGTACTTATCCCTGGGAAAGTTTTTAAAAGTCTACTGGTCTAATTTTCATTTCAGTTGATGAAGGAGCGCTGCCTTCGGCGCTGGTTCGAACTAACTCTGCCCAGCGAATATCTGCAGAGGTTTTACTTCCACAACGCGGATAAATACCATTGAGATTTGAAAAAACAGCACATTTAATACCGTCGCCATACCACCAGCCTCTGCCACTTCTTTGAGCACAATCAACAGGTTCTCTATCCCAGGTACCAAAAACGAGATTCCTGTGGGGACCGAGAGAATCAGAGGAAACAGTGGCATCTGTTTCAAAACAGAACAAAAGAAATTCGCATAATTCTGGGATCCGTATAACGCCTTTTTCAGCGAATAACTTGTTGTTAACCGCAAAAAAGGAAAATATTAAGGTAAGTAAGAACTGAGTTCCTTACGTGGCACGGATACCTAACTCCAGACCGAGTAAGAACCAATCAGGTTTACCTCAGGACTACTTTGCCAGCCTATAATACCATTACTCGACCAAGTAGAGTAAAGTATTGAGATTTAAATGAGAGGGAATTAATATATATAAATCGAATGATGAATGCTAAAAAAAAGGAAACCGTTAACTTACTTGTAATATTGCCAATGTATAGCCGGTACTTAGCTGTCTCGTTCCCAATCCCAAACCAGTCATACTCAGGGTGAACAGTTTTGCCAGTAGTTACCCCCAGATCTACCCGAAGCTTGTTCTTTGTCTTGTTTCGAGTCAGGCGGTTTATCTTGTCCAGTCCGAGCCAAAACTCACCGACCAAGTTACCGAAGCCATGTTTGTATTCGTTCCAGGTGCGGTTAAAATCAACGGAGCCATCCATTCTCTTCTGGATCACCGTCCATCCCCCGTTGGCTGTAGTTTGGTCACAATATACATTAAAGGCGCCTGAACCATCTGAGTCGATAGTGTAAACACCACTGATCCTTCGTCCGGATTTGTACAGCTCAGCACAGTTCCTAGCTGTTGTAGATAAAATAAAGATGCTTGACGTTTCAAACGTTGGGCATGCTCTCAAAGAGGGGGTTTGGTATGAATGTGCTTATATCATCCGAAGAAGTATCTGTCTTGGAGAGAAGACTACGGACTTGGATTCTTCAGATATTTTTTATCTTTTGAAAGCGCATCAAATCATAAGATAAGAATAAAAAAATTATTTTGAAAAAACTCGATAAATAACCAAAGATTCGAAAAAAGTTTAGAATATTTAAATTATTCTGTTGTCAATGTTCAGCTACAGCAACGAGGCCAAGAAACTAACAATAAATGTCATTTTCACGGAAATTTACGCACAATCTTGCGATTTATAGCTTAGCTCTCTCAAAATAAGTAGTAGGCACGGATGCGTTTCTCAAAACCCGGAAGACAGATCGGTTCCGAAAGCGACTATTTGAGTCCATTTTCTTTCAAGTGGCGCTGTAGATTTTTTAGTCCCGTATAAACTAGCCCATCTTCTTAATCAAGTAAGTATTATACTTTCAAGCTTTAATAAACACCAAGAATTGACTGCATGAGAAAATAAATAGCTTTGCGTAAGTTATCAGGACTTCTGGAACACTAGTCCCAGGGCCTACAAGCCAGGTATTCTGAGCTTGTTAACTTGAACTTTCCTTGCAGCCGGAAAAAGAACAAAGCAACAGCATCCTATGTTCAAAAACATTTTGAGGAGGTTTTAAAAAGTCTTAGAAATGAAGCAGTATTGATAAATGTTCCTCACCCCTTTTTGTCATTTAGTGGGGCTGACTTTGTGCATTCTATCGTTCACAGTATTTGTTGTCATCTCCAAGTTATCGGAATATCAACTTCCTCACGAGCTAATTCGCGTAAACATTCCCATCTTCCTACGGCGGCTGTAGTTTCATAGGTTAATTGGAGTACTGTGGAGAGAAAATGCATTTTTAATTCGGTGCGCACTTGTCTGTCACTAGTCCTTCCACTAAGTGTAACCCCAAACATTGCAAATATCTTTAAAATCATACATAAGTTAATTTGCATGCAGTATTGACCTTCTCTCTGAGGGAAAAATGACTGCTCAACTCCATTTTGATCTGTTAGAGGATGAAAACAGGATATTAATTAAAAGCAATGTTTACAACTTAAAGCAATTACAACTTATTAAAACAACACTACAATTTTCAACAGAAAAAACCATTACCAGAACTTTTGTTTGTCTCTCTGGGCGTGACCAGCTCACTGTTCCAACCAACCGCGAGAAGCTTTTATTAAAAGAAAATGGCCTTGGAGAGAAAAAGTTGCAGATCCCCACGAATGCATCGAAGGAGCAGGTCAAGGAGGTTTTGTACAAGTGAGTTATATAATTCTCAATCCACTGGCTTGCTTAAGATCTCAAGTTCCTTTTTTTCCTAGTCTTTTAGCTCCAGCCGTTTGTAAACCGATTTCTTTTGTTTATATTTCCAGGGCCTTCCGTCCATTACAAAGTTGTGGCGGATTCGAAATGCTGTTGTGCGCAGACAACTCGCGCACTAGGTTACAAGTTGTAAAGTATGGGTCGTGCAATACCGACGAACTTAGGTGTTTGGGCATGGGCCGAGTTTATATTCGGCCCAAACAAGTAGATATAACTTTGGGCGACATAGAGGATGATGATGAACATGCGGAGGAGTGTCTGCTTTGTAGGGAGTCTATCCCATTGCGCGGGATGCGAGCCCATATGGAAACGTGTCGGGTTTGTGTTTTGCTGGTGACGTTTTTTTGACTACTTCTGGGTAGAATATGGAGCCTTCTGCTAATACTTAATTTTTTTTTGGAATAACTTTTTTGTAGGGTGAAACAAGACCTACAGAAACATCCGACGATGATTTGCCGCCAGCATTTGGAGAGAGGGGGTAAGTAGAAGTGGTCACCGCACTCGCATGGTGGTTATCGTTTCCACGCTTTTAGAAAGTACTAAAAGTTGCTTTCGGTATTTCACGTAGTTATAAATTCCTTTTTGTACGCATTGTTTAGCCTTAATTTCTTAAAAGATATCGGTGACTTTATACTTTATATTAATATTTAACATGGGGCATTGTGCTTAGCCTGAAGGTGGTCTTTATACACCAATATAATCAATATTTCAGAGAGGAAGAACGAGTTAACCCAGCAGAACTGCACAATCAGCCTCCAAGTGGCACTGAGCAGAACTCACTGGAACTGCCAGAACAGCCTCCTCGTGGTACTGATCAGGCTTCAATAAGTCATGACGAAGCAGCCGCCAATGAAGAGTGAGTTTCTTAGCCATGTTAAAATTACCGATTATTTAGGTGGCGCTGAAAAGTTTCTCAAGTGCGTCTAAGGGAATGAAACGCCAATCCTGTATCGTTTTCTATGCACTAACCGTGTGTACATCCATTCTACTCTGCTGTTGCCGTCATACACTAATTGAGAGTTGATTGTAACATCATGAACATTACATGAAAACTTCTACCATTCCGCTAAAAGCCGCCTCAAATAGTTATTCCTCGCTATCTACCTAGGGAACCTGTCCCGTACGAGGAGCATATGAGAAATGCTTTAGAGGAAACATTAAAAGCTATGTAAGTACAAATTGATAGAATTATGCTTGGTACATTCTGCTTGACTGTCTTTTGCGTATCCTACAGTGTAGTTGGTGTTAGTGTGTATGAACTTTTGCTGTGATATCGTTTTAAGGGAAGGAAGGGGGAAATTAGGCGTCCGTCCAATGATTTAATGTGCTAAGCACAACCTTTTATGTGCAGAGATCCGTTAGTTGATTTTACTACTTTGACTTTGGCACTCAACTATTAGTGTAAGAAGCTGGATACAATCGGGCCGACTGCTCGTTAGTAGACCGGTTTAATGCAGCAGTTACCGGCATACTTTTGGGAATTATTCAAATTCACGGGCGTTACGCCTCTTTGATCATTACAAATTTATTTCAGGGCTACCTGTGACGAGCCTGTTACAGTCTTAGGGGAGTTCAGGCGAAGGTTACAGCGAGGGCGAATGCTTGACCTTCAAAACGACTCTGAACTGTGTGAGGGAAAGACCACGGAGATATTTGTCTTTCGTTACCGCCTCTTCGATGAAGCTATGGAAGAGATATTGAGGGATGATCCGCCGGCGATTGATTTCAGTTTACCTTTAGAGGTGATCTTCACTGGTGAGGGCGCTCAAGACTATGGTGGTCCAAGGCGGGAATTTTTGGGCATGGTGATGCGCGATATACGTGACAAGCTCTTCAAGGAAGAAGGAGAAGGCCACGTCATTTTTGAGAAAAAGGAAGCACTAGATAGGAAACATTATTATGGAGCTGGCCTCTTTTTTGGTAAATATGCAAAGCCTACTCAGACACCTGTGTCATTTTCACTTGAGCACACAAGAATTTCAATTTACCTTTTTATTGCAGGTTTCAGTTTGTTGCAAGGTGGTCCTTTGCCTACTTTCCTTGCTGAAGACCAGCTTCAGCGAATCTTCAAAAAAGATGATTTGACTAATCTGGGGGAAGCAGAAACCCAATTTCGGGTAGGACTCGAGAAATTCGGACTCGTTGAGGTAAGATTTCACAGTGACCGGTTGTAACTGATGGTCTAGTCTTCACCCTTTACTTAGGCAAGAAAACCAAATTTAATTATGACTACAGTGGAACCTAACATACCGACTCTCGCCAAATACGGACAGTTTCTCTTCAAGCGCTTCCGACGAAAAACCCCACACATTTCTTTTACATGTGATAGGCAGTTGTTTAATCCCCTTAGGATCTCTGTAGTCTGGGAGCAGGTCTAAAAATGGCTGAAGAAGAATAGGGACTGTATGTAGGATGCCCTCTCTTCTCTTTGATCCTCTCTTACTCACACAAGAGATTTGTATTCCCTTGATCTCTAACACTTTTACATAGATTCCATACTTTCCGAGGAAATGGATCTTGCTTTTCTCTTAATCTGTTAGCTCCTTCATGGGAAACCGAGTCTTTCATTCCTCTTCCGAAAGACAGCAGTGCTGCCCATGACATACCCCAAACTGGTGGAACTGCTGGACCCTATTTTTTCCGACGAGGCCAGCAATCGAAGGCAGCGGGAAGAGCGAACATACAGACTCTTCCTGAATTACTTGAAAGAGGTGTCAGGTAACTGTCGTTCTCTTTTCTCTAGTCTAAGAAACATCACCGCTGGCTAGACAGTTGTAACTTTGCTTTATGCCAATCGAAATTTTCCACAGAGCGCGTAAAAAAGAACTGGGATTCAGAGCTTCATGAGTGCACTGCTAATTTTTGTGTTTTTCTCTTTTCAGCTGGAAGGAGGGTAGATGGCAATATATCTCTCCGTAGCATTTTAAAGTTCGTCACTGGATGCGAGAACGAGCCTGTTCTGGGTTTCCAAATGAAGCCCTCTATTTGTTTTGATACGAATATGCCATCTTGCCTTCCTATTGGCAACACTTGTATTAGCAGGCTGACTTTGCCGATAGGCGAGAATGTATCAATGACCAAGGAAGAAGTATTCTCTTTCTTTGACTACGCTTTCGCAAATGATTACTTTGGCCGTCTCTAAGTGAAACTACTGATTTCTGATTGATTCTCTTTGACAAGGTGTTTTTTAATTTATAAGTTGAATTTAGTTTACAGCAGCATTGTTGAGGCGAAAATTCACATTCATTACACAAGCTTTAAAAGTCTAGTTAAAAAAAGAGCGCTAGTTTAGGCTGTACACCAAAGGGTCAGTTGGTGCAACTCATACAAGCAATATTGTGTATATGTTTGTGTTTGCCCTTTATTGAATTCTGATTATGATGAAGATTTTAATAGCGTGGAAATGGGCCTGAGATGAACGAAATGAAAATACATTGAAAAGAACAAAGTTTGTGTTAATGTTGCCAAATACTCATCCAAACAAAAGTAAAGCGAAGGACGTTTATTGTGCAATTTTTTAAAGCCGTTACGTTTTCACTTACTATACTGTTTAAACGTCCCAATCGATACATTTTGGTAATAAAATGTTATCATTTATGTTATCTGTGTGCTGTCTATTCATAGTCAGACCTTACAACCTCTCACTATTTCAGCACCAGTTCCACTCAGCTTAGGTTGGGGTTATCGCAAGCTGACATGAAATCGCAGATTACGATAGGATACATTATGAGTGATGCCAAGTGTACTCATTTTCCCGGTGTAACCGAAATAAACAAAAAACAACACATTGTCCAACGAAATAGAAAAGTAAGATGATAGGATTGGGGGGGGGGGGGGAAGATACTTTAACGTGAGTGGCGTACACTGGTGCATTATACAAAATGTTAAAACCTAGGTTTTCAGACGATTCATCGTTTCCAGTGCATGCAGATATGGTGTAACGTCCCATGGATCTTCGCCTTGGACTTCTGACATGCTTGCCTCAAAAATCGTAAACGACTCAACATCTAACGGACACCGTGTCGGTGGGACGACAACCTCATTCTGTAGTGCATCATCTGTGCCGTCATGAAAGTAAGCCGTAGGATCCACACCGTATCCCTCCAAGTCCCTCTGAAATATAGTTGAAAGGAGATTCAAATACCGCAAAGCATTGGTTATGACTGCCTTAAATTAACTTTGCAAGCAAGGAATCTTGGCATCGTTTCGATCGTGATCTATATTTAAATTGAAGGGGTGGTTAATTAAAACTCAATATTTAGTAGAGGCCACTTGAGATTGTTCACCCGTGTGGCTTTAATGCTTGGGGAACTGTGTCTGTCATATGCATTATTGTGTTTACCTGACTAAGGTTTTGAAAGTATTCTGATGCCACAATACCACTTCCTTCCGCAATTTCTTGCATCCCTAGTATGAACAGTTGTAAAGGACTTTTGTTTCCTGCAGTACGTATTTTGTGATTATTCCAGGATAGCACAAATTTTGAAAGGGCCTCGTTGATTATTGGGAGATAAGTGAAGTGAAGGCAAAATAGATGCCCTTCGTTGTCCGGATCGAGCTGACCGCATGCTTCGAGAGAAAGGAAAAGGTCGTAAAATGAGGATAGGACTAACTGGTACACATCGCGCCAGAGTCTTTCTATACGCGAGTTGTGCACGCTTCGTCCGGTGATGTAACTCCCTCTTCCGGGCCCTCTTGCTGTATGGTTCAACATGTAGTGTGCCACGTCTCTGTTTTCAACTCCCATGTCGCCCCTGACTCTTGATGGCAATCCCCATTCAGACACCGCACCCTCAAAGAGACGCAAGACTGTGACAGACGTGTTATTCGTATCGCACTTAAGATAAACGACGGAGCGACTGTAACCGTCAATGCAGCCGTGAACCACGAATCGCCATCTAAGAAGAGAAGGAATAGAGTGGTAAACCGAAAGTATATGAAGGGGGGAGCGGTGGGGGAGGTTACTCCTTAAACAAATGGTGCAAAGTTATTGAGATCTGAATTACAGCAACAATTATGTCATCAAAATAATGAGATAAGTGACAGCTACCATCAGTTTGTGATTCCCGTCCATATGCCAGAGGGCCAGTGGGGAACATACGTTATACACTCGTCTACGGATGGCATTCATAGACCTTAGCCTCCTGCCAATGGGATCGACTCTCTTTATGGCACTCCTTAGTCTCCACCTCTGCACATGTACACCTTGCGAAACAAGGTAACCCTCGATTGTTTTGCAACCTGTAAAAAAAATAAGGGTTTTAATTTCGAGCACCCTGTGACACAGTAGTGAAGTTAATGCCACTTGTCGTGCTTTCTTGACTTCTCTGTTTAGAGGATACAAAGTGTGTTTCTGATATGCAAAATTTTGTGTAAACACTACGGCGGGCTTAAAAGCTCTTGCCTGTAAGTTGATTACGTTTTGAATCAATATACTGGAAGAGAACAGCATACGGGATTTTCAGAAACGGTCTCGAGTGTACGTCTATGCTAAAAGAAGCATGTTTGCGTTTGCCAAGTGTGATAATGTCTACGTTTCTTGAGGTGTTCAAGCAATAACGCGTATCGGCCGAAAAGGTTTAATTAATTTATGGAATCTGAAAGAAATAAAGGCAAACGAGAAAATTTCCCAATTCAGATGTTTATCATGTCTAGTTCCAGAGGAATAAATTGTTGCGTCATTATGTACTGGTTCTCAAACTCTTTTTACCAAGCTAAGGGCAAAAAAATCTTAATTTTTTGACTGAACATGACCGGCCACAGCCTCAAAATTTTTATGAAGACTTACTTACCCGATCTAGGGAAATTTGTCATGATACGCTGGATTAAAGAATCCAGGAAATCGTCCTCTATGTCAGTGTAGCGGGACTTGTTCGTCAACTCGTACTCGGCCATACGGTTTTCAATAGTTCGCTTGCTAACCCCAAGCATTAGAGCCATGTCTTTATACGTGAAGTTGTTCTCTAACAAAAAGATAACTAGTGTTCATAAAAGAAAACACAGTCCTTTGAGAGCAGATAGTTTACACTGAAAATTGAATGAAACCTTCAAAAGGTGAACTCACTAAAGATGTTATGAATTAACCAAAAAACGTGGTTTGGCGAAACCTATCAACTCGAAAAAAAAAGCACTCACTTCATATGGGGCATATATGGATAGTTTCAAATGTGTCTACCTTATTTTCATTTCAAATTTTCAACCTGAAAATGGTAAAAGCACTTTTTCCTCCTTACCTCTGAAAAATAGCAGCTGCTTCTCGGAAATCGCAAACTTAGGTCTTCCTCGGCGACCTGCCTCACTCACTGCTGGTGCTTCATACCCACGAAAAGGCTCTTGTTGATGCAAGTTTACGTTCAGGTGTGTACGAGCTTGATTGATTAAGTCAACCGCATCTAAAGGAATGTCCCCATTGATCAACGCTGCCTCGTAAAGAACCTCCAGTCTTAAAACAGTATTCTCTGAATCACCTCCACGATTTCCGCCTTCTTGTATATATTCAGTTATTTCATTTAGGGAATCTGATAAATGCTGACGAAACTCCATGACTCTTAACAGTACTGAAGGACAACAAACAACGATACCTGTGAAGAAAAAAAATTCATAAGATGGAGACGAGCCACTTATAAAGCAAGCACTAATTTTTTTTTCTTCTTTGCTTTTTCATCATCTGGAAGTTTTCTTTGCTTAGCCCTAAAGGCAAGACGAGAAACGTTACAAGTCACGCAACTCTAGTCAATATATCTCAATTGAACTCAGTCTGTAGCAATAATAATAATATAAAAAAAATAATAATAATCACAAAAATTAATAGTTGAGGTACAGAAATGTAAAAATAAATAAAAATATAAATAAATATGTCTACCGAAACAAACGACGAAACAGCAAGATGTCCTGTCAATTGTCTGAATTATGCAATAGTTTTTATTCAGCAAGTTGCGACTGTAACAGATCGAACGGTAAAACTCGACCTAGAGTTGTACAATTACGTACAACTACGTGCATTACGATGTCCGCACTAGCCTTCCTTAATACGTGATGAGTACGGAATGGGAAAGAGCACAGGGAAGATAAGTATGTATGCGCGCAAAACCAACTCAGAAAAAAATATTACCTTGACAAACACTATTTTTGGAACGCGAAAAAAACCCTTTAACTGTTTCCGGTCCAGACATGTAATCTACGTTTGATCGACAAAATAAAAATGGAACTTACTTTTACTATCACTGCACCCAGGAAAAAAATTAATAAACAAAGCAATATAATGTACACCTCTTTAAAATAATAAATATAAACAGTCTTCTATGAGCTTACTCTTATCGTCCGGCACACCAATTAAAGCATTCCGATATCACTTTGATCGAAAAATGTCAAAACAGACCAAGGATATCAGTTTACTTACCATGGCGTCCAGGGCACACACAATATTCAACTTCTCACGTACTCCTCCAGTGTTCAAAGAGCCGTTGAAGTTGGACTCTCATTGAAAAGTAAGCGTGAGTCACAGAAAGAAAAGGGAGTTCGACAATTGACATTTAATGCACGTCATAATACTACTTAATACAATAAACATATTCAGGCCCACCAACACGTGCAAACTGTGGTAAACCGGGAGGCCGGTAAACCGTGGTAGAATCCAGTCTCGCTATTTTAATTAACACTATCATGAACGAAAACGAATAAATGCAATATCGGCGGGGAAAAAAAGAGGAGAAACTTACCGAATTGGCTCTGCTTTACGGCAAAGCGAAGTGAAGACTATTCCATACAGCGGCTACGCCATGTAATGGTTTCGTGTCAGTCTTCACATTCGATGACGTCATGCCCCCAGCAGATCGCTGTTCCATTTGCGGTTTGTATTTTTGGTGGTTTCGGCGAGATGCCTTGGCGGCCTTCACCACCAAAAATACAAGGATGTCGTATAGATCAGCAAATACAGAGATGGCTTAAGGATCAGTTGTAGGATAGCATAGCTAATACAGGAGTGGCATAGCCTTCACGTCACGCCACGACGATTCGCCACAACATCGAAATATTTCAAGTAATACTAAGCAATTTAATGTTCAGATAGAGCGTCTGATGTTTTGCAAAGCTATTCGACCTAACGCTACACTATTTGTGTCTACGCTGTACCATTCTACATTACGCTGAGCCATTTCACGCAACGCTACACCATTTGTGTGTACGCTGTACCATTCGACATTATGCTAAGCCACTTCACGCAACGCTACACTGTTTGTATGTACGCTGCACCATTCGACATTACGCTAAGCCATTTCACGCAACGCTACACTGTTTGTATGTACGCTGTACCATTCGACATTATCCTGAGCCATTTCACACAACGTTACACTGTTTTTATGTACGCTGTACCATTCGACATTACGCTGAGCCATTTCCCGCAGCGCTACACCATATGTGTGTACGCTGTACCATTCTACATTACGCTGAGCCATTTGACGCAACGCTACACCGTTTGTGCGTAGGCTGTGCCACTCGACGTTACCCTGAGCCGTTTAACGCAACGCTACACCGTTTGAGTACTGTATTGCAAATGAGTGCTAAGCTATTCTTAATTGAGCTAGTCCATTTCACAATCTCCTGTTCCAACTCAACATCGGCTACTAGACCGTTTCTCATTTGGCTAAACTATTCATGTTTAGGGTGTTCTGTTTCACAAAGGAAAAATAGACTGTCTATAATTTGGCCATGCCATTCCTTTATTAGCTATGCTATCCTGCAACTGATCCTTAAGCCATCTATGTATTTGCTGATCTATTTGACATCCTTGTATTTTTGGTGGTGACGGCCGCCCATAGAAGACTATACTACGCCATGAAATGGTTTCGTGTCAGTCTTCACATTCGATGACGTCATACCCCCAGCAGATCGCTGTTCCATTTGCGGTTTGTATTTTTGGTGGTTTCGGCGAGATGCCTTGGCGGCCTTCACCACCAAAAATACAAGGATGTCGTATAGATCAGCAAATACAGAGATGGCTTAAGGATCAGCTGCAGGATAGCATAGCTAATAAAGGAATGACATAGCCCTCACGTCACGCCACGACGATTCGCCACAACATCGAAATATTTCAAGTAATACTAAGTAACTTAATGTTCAGATAGAGCGTCTGATGTTTTGCAAAGCTATTCGACCTAACGCTACACTATTTGTGTCTACGCTGTACCATTCTACATTACGCTGAGCTATTTCACGCAACGTTACACCATTTGTGTGTACGCTGTGCCATTCGATATTATGCTAAGCCACTTCACGCAACGCTACACTGTTTGTATGTACGCTGTACCATTCGACATTACTCTAAGCCATTTCACGCAACGTTACACTGTTTGTATGTACGCTGTACCATTCGACATTACGCTGAGCCATTTCACACAACGCTACACTGTTTTTATGTACGCTGTACCATTCGACATTACGCCGAGCCATTTCCCGCAGCGCTGTTTCCTCCACGCCTGAAGGTAATAGGCCATATGAGTTCTTTGGAAAAGATAATTATTAAATGAAGATTTTAGGTTGAGTTAGAAGCATGGCGAAACTAGAGAATATAATTCTACCAGTTGAATAACTTCAACTTCTAATAAATAAGTTGGGCAGAACCACTCAATATTGCGACTTTGGTTGGCCTTAATGCACGTGACATTTTTCTATCTTTTCTAATTTCTATACACGAATGTATTTGAACGAGGTTGTACAGCCCCCTGACGCTACTTGTCTAAATAAAGTATTGACTGGTTGAATGATTGATACTGCGATCTTATAAATGATACCCAAGCTCACACATATTTTATCGTAGGCTAGCAAATAATCGTTTTTGTTAATCCTTTGAAAACACAGCGTATGTATTTGATGCTCTCACTGAAAGGTTTGAAAAAACCTAGTGAAACTCTGCGAAAAATTTCTGGCTGCAGCCTATTTATTGCATCAATGACCGTACTAAGCTCCGACCATGCAGCTGTAGCGTAGTGTTGAATGATTAATGCAATGGGATTTTCCCTGTCAAGGGTGAGTTTTCTTTCCACCGCACTCGTTTCTAATATTGAGACTGAAGTAGTGGAAATCTTACAAAAGGTGTGGCGAGATTGTATTCTGGTGAATCTGGGTCATGGATATAATGTATATAAATGAATAAAAAACAATGTTCACTCCAAGTGCAGTGAAGATATGTGTACTTATGTATAGCGTGGTTGTGAAAATGGGTTTTTCTGTCACTATGTTCATGTGCTTCACACATGGGCTTCTGGCTCAGATATAAAGTTTAAGCAAGTGCACACTTTTCTAAATCAATAAACAAAAAAAGAAAACGAGGGATTGATCCATCGATAGATTTACTGCCTTACGGACTGAATGATTGAGTGGATGAAGCATGTGAGCGCTCAGCCTCTGACTTTAGTAGTGTAATGCATCCACTCATGAATATACCACAATTCAGCTGCAAGGTAATTCTTATCCTCTACCGAAAGAAACAATAAAATGAAATGTCTTTCAAAACCATTCAGCGTTAACGTGTGTAAAACACGAGATCGACAAAGACCTAACAATATCTGCGTAACAGATGAGAAAGGTCAGGAAATATCTTTTTGAGGAATAATTTCCTTCTAATGGTTTTAACATCGGTAGGTACCACGACTGTGTGAATGAAATAATGCATGCGTGATTTGATGAATAAATAGAACGTGATTAAAGTAGCTTAGCGTTACAGTCCCCACGGAAAATTGCCAAAAATTTATTTTCTTATCTTTTTCTCAAGTTGCATTTAAGGCACAAAGAGTTAGAATTTCTTCGTATTTAACGAACAAAGTCGCTTTTAGACTGCCTTACTTTTATTTCTTTGCTATCATTAATGGTGCGAAATGGATGATTAACCCTCTGTTCAAGTTAAAATATCGCGTACTGAGGCATGAATTTCAAGATTTTGAGCATGCGCACGGAGGAATTCCTTGTGTGAAAGTTAGCTACTGAGAAAGAGCAACCATTTTGGCAGAAAGAATCTGTTTGTGTTGTCTGCATTCAGAAGTGCCTCAGAAAGGAACGGAATTAGGATATTAACGATGCCATCAAGCCTTTCTTAGAAAGTGTTAAATATTTCACGGTAGTTCGTTGCTAGGTTTTTTCCCCCCGGAAGCGCGGGCGCGTGAATGTCTGCGGTAATTGCCATTAGTATTCCAACGTAAAGCAACATGGCGGCGAATTTAACTGAAGTCGTGTTCGATTTAAGAGGCCAAACAGATTTTTCAGAGAGGGGAAAAACATTTTGGAACGCAAGTGAACTGGAGCTGAAGTTTTCTTTTGAGCGGGAGTGGATAAACGCGGTCAGGTGGGCCAAAAGACGACCAAACTATGGTATGGGAAAGATGAATAGCGGACTAGAAGAGGTTTGCGGCAACAAACTTGAGCTTTGTGGTCCACTGGTGGATGGCTACCTTTTAGAAATTGGAGAGCAGATTGCTTCGAAACTAAGTCGCTCAAAAGCAACATCATTGGTAGGCCCAGTTGTCATCTTCATTCCGTGGCAGATATTTCGTCACATAACAGTTTTGTTCAGGGGCTATAGTGGAGAAGTGAAATTTAATGAAAGAAAATAAAAAATTACTTCGACACTATCTTGTATACAAGCAGTGGAGAAAGTATTTTCGCCGGCGAGATTCGAAGGCCAGGATGTTCTTAGAAAAAGACATTTCAGTCAACAACCGAAATCAAAGGGAAAGCTGTCGTCTGTTTACAAAGGCAGGTCAGCCGTTGTTGTATCTAAAAACACTCCTTTTGTTGTTGAATACAACCTCAAAAGTCAGAAGGCTATGGTGACATTTTATATTCAACGGTACACGGCAGAGGATTTTGTTTTCGACAAAAGCTTACAAAGTCTCATGAATAAACAAGGTAATATTAATTAATATTGTGAGATTAGTGTTGATCAAAGAAACACGAGTTTGTAGCTTTTTTTTCAAACATACATTAGTTACACGTCTGTGTCAACATGGTCTCAAGTTGAAATTTTCTAGATACTGTATTTCCTGTAAATATATTTAGCTTTCCATCTGGTGTGTAAAATATATTATTTTAAATTTTATTACAACTTCAATGATAAATAATCTTAGGTGACATTGCAGTTAAAATTTACCTGGTTAAAAAATAAACTTATGTAAACTTTATAAATGGTAATAAAATATGATTATGGAGCTTTCTGGTGATACATTGACAGTGAAAAGTCTTATTCTATATAGTCTCACTTGCTAATGTACCCTCAAGGCGTCTAATAAGAACATCTTTGTTTCCACTAGTGCTTAATTGCCTACTTTGCAACTCCATTTTTAGGTCACTTACTTTCATATTTCTAGGGTTTAGATTACGGCTATTTGTAGCTGGACCAACAGGCTGTTTGCTGCATAAGTGAACACTTTTATGAGCCTCGTATGTTACAGTATCAGGAAATCTCTCATTACATACAGAGCATAGGACTGGTTTTAATGGTGAAAGTACTTCAGGTATTAGTTGCTGTCCCTCTGCACACTGGACAGTCACCCTGGCATCTACACATACCTCGCATATATAATCATTAATTTCCTTTTCTCTTCCACAATTGCAAAAGTTGCTTGAATTTAGCTGAGAAGGAAGCCGAAACTTAAAACGAGAAGTATAAGAACTTGGCATTGGTTGATGTTCTGGCAAATAAAATGCTCTTACATAATTAGCTCTCATGACTTGCCACCATTTCCCTTTTTCAGTTGTTTTATTGGATCTGTTTGTCAAATCCAAGTCATTTTTAACCCCTGAATGTTTAGCCTCTTTTGCCTGTAATGATATTATACCATAACCCACTTTGTAACTTTCATACAGTTTAGTTGCATGATATGGTATGGCATACCCTACTGTCCACACAGTTACATTAACATCTAATGAAAAAAATAATGCATGTAAATTAAAATAAAGTGTACAAAATTCTGTGAGCTCACCAAGGTAGGAAGGGCTAACTTCAATTTTGTTAAAAAGAGCCCCAGCATTCCTAAGGAATTGTGCAATTTTTCCTAACGCTAATCTTTCTAGTTTCTGGGCTGGGGATTCATCTAAGACTTTGAGGGCATCAATGAGCCTAAAAGAAAAGTTTGCCAAAGCAATGGCCTGGTCTCCTATCAACCGTACTGGAAGCTTCTTGTGCCTCTGAGCTTCATCATTATAATGATCCTTAATCACAGAAGCTAAATACCCCAACCCACGACCAAGTTCACCAAAATCTTCCTTATGGTTACTTGACAGTGCATTGTCCAGGTCACATACAAACTTTTGGTTAGAGGCATTAACAAAATCAACCCTAGTAGATCGTTCTCCAGCACCATCATTAATTCCAATTCCAATTCGGGGGGTGCCTAACTGGCGAATCCCATTCTCTGCCATGAACTGTAGTTTTCTAGAGTGGCGATTTTTTTCATTCAGGGAAGATGGCAGGGAAATCATAAACTCATTTACCCTCTTAACATGGGAATTTCTGACCTCCAGAGTATAAGGTTTGAATAAATCTTCCTCCCCCATCCCAATAGTGGCACCCATAGTACACATATTTCCTTTGCTTACGTTAGCATAAGGAGATGGGTAAGTGGCAGCTTGATTCAACTCATTGTTAGCCCAGCTTTGCCAGCTCATATCAGCACTGGGCTGAAACTCTACAGTACACTGCTTGTTAGAAACAACAAATATATTACCCTCTAACATTTCCATTTCATCAGTGTGTTGCTTCCAGATACTTTGTAACACCTCATCTTTCTCCCCCCGACTGACACAATGTAAAATGTACTGGAAATCCCTGCTTCTCACCCTGTCCCCAAAATTCCATGATGTTAGGCTGCCAATTGACATGGTTAGCTGACTTGACTCAGGGGCCCCATCATCAGAAAATTGCATGATGAAATGATTTATGTTGTCATTAAACCAAATTAGCTTACGGAATAAATAGGGAAGTCTAAGGTGCAGATCAATTATCATAAAAACCAACCCAGTTATTGTTCTGGAAACACCCGGTGCATTGGGAATTTGATTAACATGACCAATGTCAAGACTTCTCACAAAATTCTCCACCCGTTTGTCAGAAATAGCTATATTTGGCACCCTTAAGTCCAAACCTAAACATTTTATGTTACGGGGTACCCATAGATCAGAGTTTGGATCAAAAACTGAAGACTGAGTTTTGCAGACAAGGGCATACTTTCTGCGAGACAGAAAGTTCTGGTACTTCATAAAAACAGCTTGTTTCAAAGCCTCATCGGAATTTTGATACCCTTTCATTGTCTTGTCAAACAGACCCTGGAGATATTTCCCTCGTTTAAGTCCAGAAATCAGTGTGTCCATGGTTTGATTGTCAGCAGTAGATGAAATATAATCCCAAGCCCCATATATTGACCCTTCCTTTCCCCCATGAATAAATTCTAATACATTTTTTGTCTCCTGTCTTCGTCTGTACTTAGTGCTGGAATTGACATTTGTAATCATATCACAAGTTGTACTGGCATTTTTTCTCCTAGCTACTGAAAAGCCTTTTTGTTCAAGCAGAGATTTAAATTTGTGATATTGCTCATTTAATTGTGTTACTTTTTCCTCTTGTTGCTTTACTTCATCTTCCTTTTCTTCCACACTCTTTTGAAGGCTTTGTAGCTCTTCTTCTACTGCATCTTTCTGAGCAACAGAAGTTTGTATTTGTCCCTCTTAAAAAAAAACAGAGAAATTAGATCTCAACATTTTTTGCAATCACATGTAAATAAAATACTAAAGGAACAGAATGTTGTACATACATAACTTAATTTTCCGTTCGAACTTCAGAGTAGCATGGTGGTAAAAATGAAATCCTTTGCACGTTTAGAAAACACTCAAAGTTATAATATTACCATATTCATCCAGCCGAGCCTTTTTCGCTTCAATGTCCTGTGATAACCTTTTGTTTTGTTCTTGTAACTCTCCTTTTCTTTTCAAAGCTACATGTGAAGATGAACTCTTCCAGAATGCATGAAAAGTTCTACTAGAATCACAGCGTCCTTGGTGAGAATTAGGCTTACTGCATTTTCTGCTTTTTCCGCACAGAGGTTTTCGACTGCAAAGTGAGCAAGAAATTTAAGTTATTCAATATAACCACACAAACGCGAATTCGACGTTCAGAATTGCTTTGCTTACCTATCGTCCCGTTTATCCCCTGAAAAATTGCTGGCCATAAGAAGATTCTTCCTCGAATGGTCTTTTTACTGCCGTAATTACACACAATGATTGGCGATCTGTAGAGAATCCAATATGGCTGCCAGCAAGAAGCATCGAGCGCTCGATAAAATCGGGGTTTAAAATGTACAAATTTACGGTTTCCACGATTGAAAATACAAACAAACGGAGTCTACATATAACGATAAAGCTTTTTTATTTGTGATAGGTAGGATACAACGAGAATAGAAAATTACCCAGGATGGATTTCCCCCTCACAACGCGCCAAATTCACATTCTTAAACGATTTCAACTCGAAAACACAATCCTAAGGGGGGTCCCGAAATCAAAAAGATACTTTAGTATGGGAAGAATATACCTACCCCTGAAAGTAACGATTTTGACCTTTTTAGCTAGCGTTTAAACCAGGAATTTGTCTCAGAAGGGGACTGAGTAAAACTCGCTTTTCGTTACCAAACGGCAGAAAGCCACAACTGGAATGTTGGGCAACTGTGTAAGATGCAAATGTATTCATATTGTTTATTGTATTGCCGAGAAGCGAATTTCAATATCTCCACCGCTACTGAGCCATCGAACGCGAAAACAACAAAGGCCTGTTGGATCACGTGACGAGAGGGACGCTATGGGAGGAAATCGCATAGCAACGAACCACCGTGTTTGTGGATGAAACACCTACATAGCTCCTGTTTATTATATAAGATTATAATAAATTTATCAGTGAATTTATCAGTGCCACTTGATTTGCTCTGATAAATTGGTAGCTTTCCCTGCCTAAGTTTTAGAATGGAAAGATCAATCTTAAGATATATCTTGCATAACTGCGTTCGGCCATAATCTTGCCATGACTGACCAACGACAGGCTAAGAGTAGACATTGAGCATCTAAGTTATCCAGACTTTCAATAAAATCAAAACCTTAGCTCTCTCTGGCGATAAGGATTTCTTCTTTCCCACGATTTGACCGAAAAAAGAGGTTTTTTTCTTGTCATCATTACATATTGCATATTTTTCCTTATCCGTTTGATTCTGATCTTTGCGAGCTATGTTAAACGCAGACAAAACTGATCCGTTAGCCAGCCCTTGTGTTATCACAGCTAATCATCAAATAACGAGATAACTCTCTAGAATCGAACGCGAGATCCTCAAATAACTAATGGTGTCTACCTTACGGCGGATAGATGAAGACAAGCTGTTTAAGTGATTTAGTTGTAACTCATTTGTTGTTTTAAGATAATTGAATCGGTTTAACCATCAGTGGCCGTCTTTCTAACGTCCCCAGAGATCCTCAAATAACTAATAGCGTTTACCTTCTGGCGGATATGTGAAGACAAGCTGTTTAAGTAATTTAATTGTAACTAATTTGTTGTTTTAAGGTGATTGAATCGGTTTGACAATCAGTGGCCGTCTTTCTAACGATGCCAGATGAAATTATGTTTACTTTTTCGTTAGAGTAATTTGAGAGGAGCAAGTTATTTGAATATAGCACAATACTTTGCATTTCCAAGTTTAAAAGAGACTAAATTCTCCCTGAATGGTATATCCAGTGGTGGAGTAAGAAAAACTTCTAAGATTGTAAAACGCGCAATCTTTCGTCTTATTTCACGGAAGCAATGAAAATGATCACCTGCTGTTTTTTCCGATGTGGTGGCCTAATTAGATAACTCATCGTACATAGAGTGTAAATCCTCTCTCATCAGGAGATATAAATTACACACTAGTTCAGTTGGTGATATGAACTTAGTTTCATTTGTATCGAGCTTTGCTAATTCGCTCAATTTCAGATGAGTTTCAAAAGCAAACGTTCTCTCCATATTCCTGGTTGTAATTTGACGAGCCACTAGTAAAACAGCCTCTGAAAACAAGGCTGCGTTAGAAGGAATATTCTTACATTGCAATATCAGAGCTATTCATGCAACTGGCGAGAGGAAATAAGTGTTTAATAGTAGGTGGCTTGCTATAGTGGCTATTAAGGCAACATGAAACTACGCCTTATTACATTATTTACAGTTTGTATTTTCGATATACAAAGGTTAACGAATCCTATGATTTGTAACGAAATCCATCACAAATTCTGTTATTTCTGTGCTACATGCACAATGCTATACACAGTTGTTACGACCTTGCACGTGGTCGGTTTGGTCGGACCAAAAAATTTGTTGTTATCCAATTTGGAATTTCGTCTTTCCTTAAAAAGTGTTGTTACCCAATTAAAAATTTCGTCTTTGCCTGCTACGGAAGTTGAATGTCGGTATCAACAGAATGTCAGTTTCCTTTTCTAACGTTTCAAAATGGAAAGTATAAAATATATTTTAGCGTGTTTATGGCCACTCTGGACAAGACTTACCGAAGAATGGCTACAACAATAACTAGTTTTGACCGGGACCCTCGTGACGGTAATTCTGGAAAAAATTAGTACCATTAGAGCTGTTTGTAACGATAATGAAAGTACGTGACCATCACTACATAAGTGCATAAAACATATGTGCACGCTCTCAGCGCTAGCTAAGGTCCTCGTAATCTATTTTTAAGCACCAAGGTGCGTTCTTCCAAAGAATGACACCGACAGAATTTCAGTGAGAGGCACTCGACAAGGAATAGGTATGTAACATCTGTCGGGGTGGATAGTATGAAATTTGTGGTGTATCATGAGAAAATTATGTAATTCGATATAATTCATATATTTTACTTAATTTTATTTAATGCCACAACTATTAAACTGGTAGAGGCTTAGAGCTGCACCAACTGTTAGTCCATATGGTTTGCACGTGACACTGCAATCAGCAAGAACTCTCGAAAAGCTCATCATATATCACCACTCCCAAGGAACAGGAGTCCATCTCTAAACGTTTCGGAATGTTTTTTGATGGTATTTTAGAACCAAAAACCAGTCAGTTTATCTGACGCAGTCGAACTTTTATGCTCGTGGTAGCCTCTAACTTTTGTTTTCTCCGCGGTGTTCTGTACTATTCGGTTTCCAAACTCGATCGGCTCAGTCAATCGTTTGATTGAAAATATTGTTGTTAAGGTAAACTACTAAATTCGATAGACTGATAAGTCAATGTCGGGTCAGTGCAGAGCTAGATAAACAACTACATTCAGTTTATGAAAATAGCTTAAATAAAAATTTTCATAATAATATTTAGCTGATTCGTCGTCTTTCGCGCAGAATTTTGTCTGGTCTAGGATTTCTGACGAATGCTTATGTCCTTTACATTCCATGTTTTTGCTCAAAAGAATATTGGCCATTCATTCTGTTACCCTGAAATTGTTGCGTCGTTTTGTAATGGCAAAGTGTAATGTTCTCTTTGCGCGGTTAGATTTGGTGATTATCTTCCGCCATTTCATGGAAAAAGGGAACTCGAGTGCCTTGAATGGTAGGTGTTGAGGTCCTAAGACAGCACCGTGGGGAATGCTGGTCTAAATACCATAATTCAAAGACATCTATTAGCAGTGTAGTTTAGTTTTACCTATAATTTATTCAATATGAAGCAACGAGTAAAAACGACAACAGAAAGTAAAACTATGGTCCAAGATGTCCCCTACTCAGGGAGATAATCTCTAGCATCATGAAACACACCATCACACTCAGGCCCTTGCCAATCAGTTATCTAAAATACGTGTCTACTGGAACAGGATTTTGAAGCAGGCCGAAAACAGCTCGTTTCTTCTCCACTTAAGCTGTGATTATGTTGCATGCACTTTCTGTGATAGAAGAAATTAGATATCCTCACACTTTTGACGCTTGTGTTAGAATTGACTTGCGAAAGTTGAATTAATGCCAACTATATCACGTCTTCCACAACACTTATTAAATTACAGGTTTAAATTCATTGTCGGAATTTTCAAATCTCCGCGAAAACAGACGACCTTGAGAGAGCCTGAGAAGAAGTGTTAAAACAAGATTCCGGAAACTTTCTGTTCTATTCGATATTTCAAAGGAATTTCCGGGAATTTCTATTTAATAGAACTATTTTGTAATTTGTGACATCAAGATAAACAAACCCGGATTTCATCACAACTTGCCTTTGAATTATAGCCAAAATTTTATTTTCTGATAGGGAACAAGAGAGATTTTACACCCACAAGTATCAAATTGGAAGAACTCAGCGCGCAAACTCACAACATCACTTAGCTTTTTTGACCTTACGCGAGTTAGAAAAGCAATTGGTTTCACAAAATTTCCGATCCAACGTTAGCCGTTCGCTAAGCCTTTCGAAGAAATGCTTGTGAAGACAAAGCCACTGCTTGTCATCCAAATTTAAGAGTTTGTATTCCATAACTGCATAAGAACAAAAAAGATTTGTGGGTGTCAACTTTGATTAATGAAACGGTTCGATTTCTCCTGTCTATCTCAGTAAAGTACTGTATCAGGAGAAATATTTCTGATGTGCGATACTAATAATTATTGGTGTAACTGAAAAAATAATATTCATCCCTTTTGGGTTCCTAAGCAATAATATAATGACTGCTCTGCAAGTTTTGCTTGAGGCCAGGTTTTGGGAGTGCTCCCGACGTCTCGATTCGTCGTTTAGCTGATAAAAGGGCCCAACTAGTATCTGGAAGGCACCACTTCGAGTGGAACTTCTTTTGTGCTATTGCTTTAAGTGCCGCTCACCTGTGAGAATAATCTTTTTACTTGTATTTCATCTGCATGTCAGCACATATTTCACATTTATCAGATAAAGATATCAACGGTTGTTTGATATTTCCTGTTGAAAAGGAAATTCCGAAGCAAGGTGAAATTAAGATAATTGTGTTAGACTAGCTGATTTCCTAACAATAGGCAAACCGATCCTGTGTTAAATTCCAGTAATATAATAAACGTACAAGTTCTTGTGAACTCCTTACATGACTGGTTAGAGACGAACTATAAAAAACAAAGGT